AACAGTGGCACACAACACAAAGCAAAGTGCTGCCCCCTAATGGTGAAAGTTTCAGTTAAAATGTGCGCATGAGGGTAATTACAAAAAGTGCACACAAGCATACCTGTCAAACACAGGGGCCACACCTCTAAATATAAGCCACGCCTCTAATTTATCTCTGACCGGCACAGAAATCCCACCATTCGGGATCGGCTGCTGTGGAGTTTTCAGGTGTGATTATAGAGACATCTGGTGGCTGAACTAGTGAATTGCATCCAAAAAAACACCATATGAAAATGAGCATGTGTTTTACGTCACACAAGTAACTGTTTTTAATGTTTTTGATTAATGAAGATAAATTTAGAGTGTTTTTTTCTTCCATGCACCCCCCCCCCAGAAGTTTGTAGCTGACACTTTGAAACAGCCTGTTAGCTTTCTTTTATGTCTCCTGTACAAGGCACATATTTGTTGTCTGGGCCTTACTGACCTCATTATTTCATACAGCCTGATTAACCAGTGAGTTCATTACAACAGTTGAGTAAATAAGTCGGTGTGGTGCTCAGATCTCACGGCACTTACTTCTCCTTGGCCCGCCTCTTCTCCTCCAGGTGCCGGTGAGCCTCCAGACGAGATTCGGGGGTGAAGCTGCACGGTGTGTGCCAGAACTCGTGCTCCCTTTGCTCCTCATCCTCCTCCGGGTTCTTTGGGTTCTCGTTCAACTCCTGGTTCTCCTTATTCTTCTCTGACTCTGGACTGCTGAAAGCAGAAGGTCTTAGGTCATCACTGAGTTTGTAAAGACAGTTTAAAGACTCTTCGCCTGAACTCATCAGGGTGACCTGTAAGTGTTGCTATGAATCATGTGAAGATTCCATAAGAGTAATTTTGCTGTGGCTGCACACTGACAGTAAAGGTCCTGGATCTTGACTCCTTATAGTTTTAGAAAAAATTTAAGATGTTATCACAGTGTTTGCAGTCTGAGCCTCAAAAATCAGCAACAGCTTCCTTGAAATCACGTTTTCTGGATTTCACTTTCACATATTTTACTTCCAAAACAAATCTCTAAGTGTAAAGCAGATATGAGAGTGACTCATCATAAGCCAAATCTAGTCCACACAGCAAACATATTTGTCCCTTTTTTCCCTCTTCCTCCTGATTTTAGCAGTTTCACTTACTTGAATATTCTGCTGTTTGAGAGCAGATTTGTTCAACATAATCATGCGTATTAACAAGGACGTTAATAAAAAGTGAAATCTTGTCTCACTGCAGTTTGGAATGGCAGCATCTCAGAAACTTTCTGTACAAGAGTAACGATTTATCTTCTCACTCACACTGTGTTGTTGATGTCAGTGTACCAGCGGCCGTCAAAGCCTGGTTTCCTCTCCTTCTTTTCCTCCTCAACTCCTGCTTCCTTTCTCCTCGCCTCCTCTTTCTCCTCAGCTCTCCTCCTCAGGTATTCCTGCTCCTGCTCAGCGACGCGCCTCCTCGCCTCCTCCAGACCCTGCGAGGCTCGGATCCGTTCTGACCGGCTGATTTCTGTCCCGTCCAGACTCTGAGGACACAGAGCCAGAGCTGGGACTCAAACTCTGAACCTCCATCAGGGTTTAAGCTCACAGCCTGACGACCAAACTGCTTTCAGTGGTCTTTAAACGACTGTCACACATTTTTCTCCTGGAGCTTCACTGGCTGTTGCTTTCACTGAAGTGTTCTCAGCTCTGACCTTTTAACATCCGACTAACTGAATCCCTGCAGACACTTTTTCATCAAATACTTTGTCATCAGAATCTTCCAGACGGAGCTCAGCTGCCTCAATCATAAGTAAAAAATAAGTAAACCCAAACAAATAACCGCAGCCTCCACCTCTCTGGATGTAGATGAGGATCCACCTCAGACGTTACCTTGAGCTGAGGCAGTGCAGCCACCACAAACTGCCTGTAGCCCTCGAACTGCGTGCAGGGATTCCCCACCAGAAACAGCTCTCGGAGGTGGATGTTGTGTCTCAGGGACTCCACGCTGCTCAGGCGGCCCACGAAGTTCACCGTCAGGTCCAGTTTCTGCAGGCTCTCACAGCCTGATGAGCAGGAAGTGGAAACAGAAAGGCGACATGTTTACATGTTTACAGGCAGAAAAACAAGCGCTGAATTAAAGCCCGTACATACGCTATGCACTGACCTTCAAGGTTTTCAATGACTTCAATGTTGTTCAAGGCCAGATTCAAGTACTCCAGCTTCTTCAGTCGGCCAACATTTTCTAAACGAACAAAAACACAAAATCACAAAGTTCCTGTAGAGGCAGCTGATGACTTTTGAGAACAAAAGCATCTGTGTGAATGTTTTCCTTGGTAAGATGATGTGACAACACATCTAACATCTGACTGATGTCAGCTAAACTCAGCCCAAGTAGTAGTGGCCCAAACATAAATACCACAGCTGTTCTCAAGACCTCACTTTCATAATAACTGGTGATATTTCAGTAAATAGACCAAGCCAACACTAAAATGCAGTCATTTCTTTCTTCAAAGGGTTCTACCCACACTGAGGCCCGTCTCACCGATCCTCGGGATGAGGTTGTTCTGCAGGTAGAGGATCCTCAGCTCCTTGCACCACCTGTCGAGGTGTTCGATCCTCTCGATGGCCTGCTGATGCAGAGAAACTTCCTCCAGTGAGAAGATCTCACACTCATTGTGCTCGGCGCGCCGGCGGATCAAATCCTCTGTGACTGAAACAGATTTTCCTTTGAACTTCACCTGAACCCGTTTCTAATAAAAACGTCTTCTCAGCAGGTCAGCAGGAGTTCTAGGTTCT